CCCTTTTCCGTCGTGTAAACGGTAAACATTGTACAAAAGCAACAAGATATTAAATGAAGATATAAATTAGTGCAGTCTGCTATGGTAAATAAATAATTACATACCGGTGAAACCTTTGATGTCAGCAAAAAGTATGCTGACATTCTCATAGCGATGGATATATATTCTGTGAAATTGATTAGGTGTAAAGGAGATTGTTCCACCTCGTGCAGTTTCACGGGCGATATCACGGATCATTTCCTTAGCCACGAAATCTGGTAAAACTACAATAAAATTCGTTCAATTATGAGACTTGACTGGCACACTGAAGACCATAATCTTTACTCTACAAAGGCAATAACGCCGTGATCGCATTCGAAATAACACCCGTGTAATTGATCTGCCGTTAAAGAAGAAAGCAAGAACTTTGTTAGGGCCTCACTTAGGTCCGTTTTTTTTTGTTTCGTTTGATTGTATTTTACTTATATACTTCCTAAACAAATAATCGTCGGAAAATCGATAATACGTAAAAGCAAAGTACTATGCCAGGCTATCGGTAAAACATATCTGGCGCAATCGGGTGAAAGTGTCTAGTGACCCTTTTTGACACTCGGCTGAGCAAGTTACACGCGCTGGCGAGCCCCCATGCTTGCGGCGCAACCCCCATGCGTTTTTATAGACTACATGTTCGACATGTTCGAACATATATATAAATATACTTGAACACATGTCGGGCGTATTTACATCAATACGTAATTACACAGTCCATATACATTTACGTATACGACGCACACACGTGTGTATTGTACCCTTTCAACACCTGTTCAATTAATTGCGCCAACTCAATGGCAAAATTAAGTGTTTAATTTAATAATAATACCGATCGTCCGACAAAATGTCAATCTAATCTCTGCCTGTTAGCTGGCTCGCTCTTGTAAACGTGTAAACTAATTCGCTGGTTGAAGATGATTCTCTCTTTTTTTTTTTTTTTTTTCGACATTTCGAACTACCAGTAAAATAGTTATAGTCAGACGATTTTAAGCGAAATTCGAAAATGAAGCGAAACTTTTCGAGCGAAGCTGAAAAAAGGGTAGATCATCGATCGTGAAGTAGTAAAGTAAAGTGAAGTGCTGAGGATCGTTCGTGAAATTGAAAGAAGAAGAATGAGAAGCATGTCTCACCAGAGAGGAGCAACTTCTCTTGTCGGTTGTTCTCGTTTTGCGTTCGTTGCCGGGTCTCCATGGATCTGTGCGTCTCCAGGAAAGCCTGTCTCTGTCCTCTGTCTGTCAAATACTTAGTGTACATGCCAGCTAGATTCATTGCAAGATAAAGAAGGACGTTGGTTGTTAGCATTCGAACTATGCACGTGACATCATGCAGCTGCAATTGCAAAATTAAACGTACTTTAACGAAAAGGAAGCTGCGAGTCGCAAAGCGTACTTTGGGATGTTGCTAAAGAAGAAAGGCCGTTGTATCGTGAAGAGTGAACAAGAAACGTTGATTTCGTTAAAAAAAAAAAAAGAAAAAAAAAGAAAGAAAGAAAGAAAGAAAGACGAAAGTGTAGACCAAGGATTCTTACGTATGTGGGGTCTCGTAATAAGGTTATTCCCGCCATCACCATGTGAGTTAAAGCAGTCCCGTAACCGGCAAGGACACACCATCTCAAAGGCAACGGCAGCATGGCGTACGGCGCATACACGACAAACAAAATGTACCACATGAGACGTTGTTGACTAGAGAAATCTAGACCAGCTCCTATAAAACCTGCAATTGGACAGGGAGATGTGCAGATAAAACATAGAGGCCACACTCTTAATTGTAAGCACCGTTTATCGAGACATTAATCATCGTTTTTTTTTTCTTTTTTTTTTTTTGTTAATCTTAAATAACCGCAGAGGATCACCGATCAATAGTAACCCATGCCTAGGTATAAGTTTGTTCTACCACGTCTCTCTCTCTCTCTCTCTCTGTCTCTCTCTACGGTTCGCTGAACATTCAAGCAATTCGCTGGACCGCCAACGCACGAGCCAGTGGAGCAAAACTCTATTCGGTAAACGAAGATACAATCTTCCCAAGAGTACGTACGTACTCATCTATATACCTGTTGTATGTGTATATTAGAAAATTGCAATGAAACACAGTACTTTTATATATCCAACTATGAAAAGAACTCTGTCTATTCAGAAACAGAAAGAAAGAAAAGGAGAAGAAGAAGAAGAAGAAGAAGAAGAAGAAGAAGAAGAAGAAGAAGAAGAAGCTAGAGACAGTTGTTGCATGTAGTACACATCTGTGCGTATGTGTGTGTGTTTGATCACCTTGCGAATTGATCAATAACCAAGTGAATATGGAAGCCCAATATAAATAATTGTTGGAGAAACACCGCCACCAGCCAAGAACGCAAACCATCAAGTTGGCTGCCATACAGCAAATCACCCAAGACAATGACTCGATCAGGCCGCCGCTGTTCTCGTCCCTCTTCCACAGCCATATCGCCATCAGGATGATCTGGTGTCGCCAGTATTTGCGTGTTTTATGAAACGAGAAATAGAGAAACAAAAATACAGAATATACTTGCTTCGTGGTACTCGAGTGACTAAGCCTTTTAAGGGATCGGTTTACCTTTAAGCTAAGATCGACGATATTCAGCATGATCAACGATTTCTGCCGTTGACGATTCGAGTAATGGAGATACGACGTCTCCAGCTGTTTGCTGTGGAAGCTGTTCGATAGCGATGGACAAAATATTCCCTTGTAGAGCACGCCTTTCTTGAAAACATCTGAAAAAACACCCGGTCGTATTTATAGCCGAAGGCTGTGCTGCACATGGAATAAATTAATAATTTACGTTCGACTAGTGTGGAATGTTAATATAATTGGCCGAACGAGCAAAACGCAAGCTGAATGTAATTGAAAGGCTTGTAACAAAAATGAATTCCCTTTGTCAAACGTTTCACAGTACTACTATGCATCATATTCCATAATATTAATTCCATGATTTTGATAACTAAAGTGAATTATATTATCTGATGTTGTCGTGTCAAGCCGTTCAGTTGTATTAATAATATTAATAATATTATAATAATTGAACCTCGCTGCGCTTGAGATTCAGCATCGACTGGCTGATCGGCAAGAGCCACGTCCGGCTCGGTAGAAATGTCTGCATCCTCGGTTAGATCGGCTATTTCATTGATGTCTGCAACTTCCGGATCGTTGTTGGACTTCCGGTCCTCCCATGCCGCCAATCCTTCCCTCCCCAGCCTCTCGGAAGTTAGTTTCTTCACAGCCTTGATCCATAATTGTTTCCTCGGGGAAATACTCAACCTATCGACGTCAAAAAAATGTACCGTGAATTAATTCCCTTGGATAAGCAAGCGAGAACATCTAGGACATCCAGGAAATTGATACATGAATACATACTGAATGCACATTGCATATTATACATTTTTTGTTCGTTGCGCAAAATAATTCGAAGATCGTGTACATTTACCGCTTGATAATTCGTCGACAAAAAAAAGTAAATTATTGTTCAGAATGTTAGGAATAAAGAAAATATTGTATTTTAAATATTAAAATACATAGTTGACATACGAAGTATTATTAAAATATGTAAGCTAAATAATAATCAATATAGTAATAAAAACGTAATTTTACAAATGTATACACGTATACATAATTCAATAATTAATCGTACAACAAATTCTATTTACATACTTGGAAAATTTTATTTACGAAATAAATAACGAGACGAACTTACGAATAGTTTTGTGAAGAATTACAGCTATGAGAAATATTGAACAATCTGCAAAGTGTACACGATCTCTTAATTAGTTTGGGCAGTGTATAAACAAAAAAGTAGTTGCAAAACATTTATGCAAATCATGATAAACAACAAATTTTGTTGTTAACAAATATTTTTATGCGAACATTTACGGCTATGTATTGACATATTATTCGCAATATTTTCAAAATCCCAATAACATCGGAAATTCATCGTTCAATATGATTTGGAGTTATAGAGTGTGTGAAACAGAAATGAAAAGAAAAACCTTCAAAGTGAAAAATGGAATTTTTCCCTTTCGTCGGAAGATTCTTCGAAACGATCCTCGTGCAAACATCATTTAGGCTAACATTCACATAATCGTAGACCGTGCCTTACGATTCGAAAAAAAACATTGTGCCGCGCGAAAATACGTATAAACGATACATCGATGATAAGTGCACATATATTTTTAAAATGCGCAGCACTATCGATCCAGACACAATTCTTGCACTATACCGTGATCTATCATCGCAGGTATCATTAAAACCATATACCACCGGATACAAACGATCAGAATGAACAAAAAAAAAAAAGAAAAAAACTAAGCAACATCGTGTCCTTGTGAAAAAAAATAGTATCAAGTGTATACATGTGAAAACACATCGAGAGGTGTGTCACACTGTTGGAAAAAAAAGGCACAAAATATCTCGTCGATACACCTGCATAACGTGAGACTTACCGAACAGTGTTATTGTGTTAATGATGTGTCGCATTAAACAAAGAAATAATTGAAAGTCTTTCTCGCACGAGAGTACATTTTTTTTCTTTCTTTCTTTCTTTCTATATATGTTTCTCTTTTTTACTTTTTCTTTTCTTTTTCTTTTTCTTAGTCGCGTGTAAGAAAAGCAAAAAAAAAGTAAAGGGAAAGGAAACATAGGTGAATACTTACTCATTGATGCCCGCGACATCACTGTCCAGCATCATGCTCCAGGTCTGTTCTGTAATCATTATCCCCCGGATGATCCGCGAAACGAACAACCGCTCACGATGTGATTGTCAGCTGTGCAATTGCCTTAGTATCCGGCATTTTCACACACCTTAAACCAGAACTTGTTAAGAAAGGAAGCCAATTTCTCGAATGTCCCGCCCAACGTTGGTTCAAAGAATTCTCTTTTTTTTTTTTTTTTTT